AAGTTAGGGGGAGGTCTTGCTTACTTCTGCCTGAGCAAGAAAGAGAAGGCCCAGACTGCAGTTTGTAAGCAATAAATGGGTTTTAAACTTTATTTCTCCCTTTGACTGATTTCAGTTTTAGAGGTATTTGCCCTCAGATTTCCTCTCCCTGGAGTTACACCCTGATACCTCAGAAGGGATGGGAGCACGGGAGACGACCTGGGTGGGCAGGCTTTGGACCTTCTGAGTTCTCCATCTCTCCCCACAGAACAGGAGGCCCTGCAGGATGTGGATTCTGGTGTGTTCCTCTTGTCCTTCCTCATGCAACCCACCTGCTGATCCATGCATGCTGTTTGGACTTGAAGAAAACTGGGCTTCTGACTTTCTCTCCAGCTCCAGCAGCCTTTTGGAAAGTTACTGAACACATTTTCTCCTTTCTGTCTGACCACAGGGAATTAACTCTCACTACAAAAGGGGAGAGTTAAATTAGATAGCGTCCAGCACTTTCATCTTCAAAGGATCTAGAACTTGGGCTGTTACCACCTGAGATGTCTTATTCTCAAGCAACATTTCTAAGAAAAATGTGTGCCATGTTCTTCTGGGGACTGTGTCAATTAAAAATCTTTGGGATGGAAGTGATAGAAATCTAGCTTAAATTGGTCTAGGCAAAACAAACAAACAAACAAAAGTTGGGGAGGGAATTTACTGGGTCACATAACTGAGAAAGCCAAAGTAGATTGACTTCAGGTATTGCTGGATCCAGGAGCCCCGGTAATGTCACCAGGATGTCAGCTATGGGGACAATATGATTACAATCACATCTGGTGGTGGTGGGAAGGATAAGGGCAACTCTCAGAATTCATTTTTCCTTATGAGGTTGTAACTCTAGGGGAAAAATCCTGGGGCAAAATACCTTTGAAACCGAAATCAGTCAAAGGGAGAAATAAAGTGGGAGAAACTCAGTTATTGCTTACAAGCTGTCGACCACTTCCAGCTGCAGAGAAAAGGGACCCCACCCAACCTCTCCCGTCTAGATATGCACTCAGCTCATCCTGTAATTACTTATTGATATGGAGATGAACTACTTCTCTCCACCCGTTGAAAACACCTATTGATATGGAGATGCACTAAGCCAGGTGAGAGATTCTGAAAATATCTCAATTTTACCCACAGAGGCAAAGTGAATTGAATCCTTACAGCAATGAAGAGGTGATGGGGAAAGGGAGAGCAGAGACTGTCACCTTTCACTACACTTAGGGGCTTCAGATATCGCTGCTGAGGCAGGACATGGGGTGAGAAGGGTTTGTAGCTATTTTTTACCAAGCTCAGACCTCCCTCTGATAACCATCAGTCTAGAGATTCACTTCAAGGGCAGAGAAAATCTATACACTTAAGCTGGTTTCCAAAGTACCCCCGACACACACACACACGCCCACATGCCTGCCTCAGCTGTGAAGGATCTGATGGCCCCTCTGCAGATGGTTTCTGGCTTTTGGAGAAAGTCATAAGGGTCACAGAAGATCATACTTAGGCTGGTTTCTACTGGGAGCTGGGGGCCGGCAAGCAGACCCTAACCATGAACTAGGGGCAGCTGACTATTCCAGGGTCTTTTTGCCCCACAGTGAGGCAGCAGTGGGCAGACTCCCTGGCCAGTGCTCCTGCTCTCTCCCTTTCCTTTCCCTAGGTGCCCAGGGCTCTCATGCCGCCCCCATGGTGGCCCAGGGCTGGGCTAGCGGTCAGGGTGAGAGGGGGAGCTACGGAGAAGCAGCTCAGTACACCTGCAGCTGAGTCATGTTCCCTGACTGGCCTACCTGCCCCACACCTGTTCTTTCCTGCATCTCTTCCCTTTTGCCATGAGCCCAAGTGCTATAGACCCAATGCTTCTGTTCCCCCAAGAATTTGTATGCTGAAACCTATTCCCCCAGTGTGATTGCATCAGGAGGTGGGGGGCCTCTGGGTGGTGATTAGGTCATGAGGGTGGGGCCCCCCTGAATGGGATTAGTGCCTTTATAAGAGAGGCTCTGGAGAGCTTCCTTGTCCCTTCTGTGAGGTTACAAAGAAAAGACAGCTGCTTATGGACCAAGAAGTGTGCTCTCACCAGACACCCAATCAGCTGGCACCTTGACCTTGGACTTCACAGCCTCCAGAACTGTGAGAAACACACTTCTGTTGTTCATAAGCCACCCAGTCTATGGCATTTTGTTATAGCAGCCTGTGTTCAGTAGGGGTGGGAGCTCATCAATTAACAAGCCCCCAGCTCTTCCCAGAATGCCCTCCTCACCTGCCTGCTCCTGGCTAACTCTTCTTCTCCTTCAAAGCCTTAGCCCAGTACCACCTTCTCCAGGAAGCCCTCCCACCTCCCACGTTCAATGTTCCTGCAGTTCTCACAGGGAGATTAGGACTCTGCTGTGTCATCCTGGTGGGGTTGCAATCACATCTATCTTTTTCCCTGTGCTGTAAGCCTCCCAGAGCTGGGTTTGTCATGTCCACTCTGTACGCCCACCTCCTAGCAGAGAGCTTATTTTTACCTCACAGTCCCAACACTGTGTGGTAGCGAGGAGAAAACATATAGAAAGACGAAGTAATTTGTCCTAGGTCACATAGCAGCAAGAGGTGAGGTGGTACTGAATCCTGGCAATCTGTCTCCAGACCACTGTGACCCCAGGCCTTCAATGAAGGCTTGTTGAATGGATTAGGCCTTTTTTCTTTCTCTGTAACCAGCACCTAGCACCTAGGGCTTGACACAGGTAAGAACCAACATGGCCACAAAACCACTCCTGCTGAGGACTTACTAAGTGCCAGGCACTGTGCTCAGCAGTTCACATATACTTGATTAATTTCACCTTGCTACTGAAACAAATTATAATGAATTTAGTGGCTTAAAATAACACAAATTAATTTTCTTACAGTTCTGGAGGTCAGAAGTGTGAAGTAAGTTTCAATGGGCTGCAATCAAGGTGTCAGCAGCCAGGCCTATGTTCCTTTTGGAGGGTCTAGGGAAGAATCCATTTGTTTGCCTTTTCCAGCTTGTAGAGGCCACCTGCATTCTTTGGCTCATGGCCCCTTTCTCCATCTTCAAATATGCCAGCAGGGTGGCATTTACTCTCCTCTCTGACCTCTGTTTCCACTCTTCCATTTTCTATCTCTGACTCTGATCCTTTCCTCCTATAAGAACCCTTGTGATTACATTCGGTCTTCGTGGATAATTGCATATGCAAACCCCTTTTTCCATGTAAAGTAACATATTCACAGGTTCTGTGGATTAATTAAAACATGGACATCTTTGGAACATCTCATTTAAGCTTTGTGCCATAATGCTGTAACACAGCTGTAACATAGCTGGCATGACTAGCTTCATTTAATGGGAGTGGAAAATGCATAGCTTACATTTAGCACCCAGTGAATATTTGTGGGGATAATCTGTTGTGAAATCTGATTGATAATATATTGTTCTTCACTGGACAGAAGGCCCTGGAGATTGTATCTAGTCCTGTGTCTTCTCTGAAGTCTTTTCCACAGTCCCCTCTGCTGGGGCAGATAAAGCTGCTGTCAGAGTGCGTAGCACTGAATTGTTTCCCCTAGGGTGGCTCTGACTCCTAGGACAATAATCTCTTTTGGTGCAAGTACCAACTCTCACATGTATTCCTAAATCTTTGACTCTTTCCATGCTGTTACAGGCTTTTATAGACATCATTTTCTCCCTTTTAATCCTTGCAATGAGGGAGCATATGTCCATTTTGCAGAAGAGCAAAGTGAGTCTCAGGTTAGATGCAAGTGAGTTCCTGATAGCTGCTGGCTGATGGATTCTGTCTTGCTCCTGGCCCTTCACCTCTGACACCCAGCACAAGGGTCTCTCTACACCCCTGGTAGCCCCCGACCATCTGACTCAATTCTGCATTTGATTGGATTTTATTGTCTGTCTCATTGTCACTCAATCTTTGGATATTCTTCCTGTGGGGTGCACATGCACATGCACATATACACACTGCCCAGCCCCCAGAATCTCCCAGGGCTGGCATTTTTACACAGCTCTTAACCTTCCTCCACCTTCATCTGCAAAATGGTCATCTTAGCCACACTTCTCCTTGCACACATAACCACCACACTTACACATCCCTCACAGAACAGCAACCTGGACCTTCAGGGATGACAATGGACTAATTTAACTTTTCTCTTAGTAGAAACACCTTGCAATCACCCTGGCAGTGATTAAGAGCTTCAGGTCTGAAATTCAGGCTTTACCACCTGTCAATTGTATGACCTTAAGAAAGTAGATTAATTCCTCTGAGCCCAATTTCCTTATCTGAAAAATGAGAAATGATAACAATATTTTTCTCACTCTGTACCTGGCAGATGCTATTTTTAAGGCAAGATTTGCTTAGAGGTCATACTTCTGCCCTTTACTGTCCTTTTGACCATTTCTGTCATAACCCATCTCCCTTCCTGGACGACCGCACTTTCTCATCCTGCTGCTTGTTGACACAAATTATCTGGAAGAGGTGGTGACATCTGTCATGTACTCTTGGGGGTTGAGGGGTGGAATTTAGTCTGTGTCTCTTCATAGGGCCATTTTCCTTTGGAGCCTCCAGACCATCTACTATGGGAATCAGGTCGCGGTGATGGGATGAAGGAGGCACAGGGGAGGGGCGATCCTCACACCTCGTGCCTCACCAAATAGATTAAATCTTCCAGTCATATGTCGGCTTGGTGGGGGAGAGGAGGTGTTGGCACCTGGAGGAGATTCGATAGAGGCATTCCTGGATGACTTCATCTCTGGGCCTATGCCTCTCAAAATTCCAGCCAAATCAGCTCTACCCTTCAAGGGATGGAAGCAGGGTTAGCATTCCAGAAGTTCCTTGTCATACCCAGGCTTTTAATCCGATGACATGGGAGAATCAGCATCCTAGTGCAGAGGTTGAGAGAGGATGGGGAGGGGTCTCAGATGTCCCTGTCACACGCTTGTCTTTCTGGCCGCCTCTGAGTGCAGGACAGCAAGACCTCTTGGGGTTGAGTTTGCTCAGAGCTATCAGGACCACGGACAGCGGCCAGGGCGCGCAGGAGACCGGCCGGCAACCCGGCAGCGCGCACGAAGCCAGGCGGATGCAGAGTAAGAGCGGGTGAAGGGAGGGAAGACGCGCTGTGGTGGTGGTGGGGTATTGGCTGGGGCTGTTCTAGCTCTGAGTCACCCGTGCGCCCCGCACTTGCGTCTGAGTCACTCCCTGCCCCTCTCTAGGAATAGTTGGAGGTGGCGAGGAAAGGGGAACGCGCCACTCTTTAAGATCCTGAGATTTTTGCGGGAAGGGAGGAAGCGGGAGGCGAGGCACCTGTTGGTGTCCCCCGCGCGCTCCCGTCCCCCGCCAGACCCATTTCTATACAAGGCCTGCTCTCCCCAGCCTCCACCCCCAGGGAGCACCCGTCCCGGACGCGGAGGGGTGCATTCCCCCGCCTGAGCTCAGCGGGCCGGAATGCGACCGATAAATGGGAGATAACCCCTGAGGGCAGGGCCTGCCGGGCTCCCAGGACAGGGATAAAAGGCCGCGATTGCCCGAGGACCCCAGAGAGCGCCCGTGGACCGCGAGGACGTGAGACCGGAGCCTCGACACAGACACAGCACAGCGCAGCAGCAGCCGCGGCCACAACCTCTGTCCACTTCTTCGGTGACATGGACCCCCAGACCGTGCTGCCCCGGGCGCTGCTGCTGTTCTTGTTCTTGCACCTGTCGCCGCTGGGTGGTCGCTCCTCCCCTCTGCCTGGCCCCAGCACCTCCTCGGATCTGTCGGGAATGCAGGTGAGCGCTGGGGCCCTGCGTAAAGGCAGCTGCGGGGCAGCAGCAATTAAAGGGTCCCCACCTACTGGCCCAAGTGGCCTCCATCCTCACTTGAGTATTAGTGATACGGGAATCAGAAGGCAGAGGGATGAGGCGCCAGGACCATACCCAAGGTGGCCGGTTCACTTGGGACACTGAGGATGGTTGGGCCCAGGTGTGGGTTCCTGAGGCTCGGGCTGCCCCCATCCATCACAGGAGCTGCTGGACGGTCTGCGGGACACAGTTTCGGAGCTGCAGGGAGAGCAGATGGTCCTGGAGCTGCCCCAGCAGGTCCGAGTCCTGGAAGAAGCCTGGGAGGCCACTGAGGCAGCCTCCTCGGGGGTCTCTGGGCCCCTAGACAGCACTCTCCAGGCCCGGCGAGGACTACGCAGTCCCAAGATGATGCGCAACTCAGGCTGCTTCGGGCGGAGGCTGGACAGGATAGGCTCCCTAAGCGGCCTGGGCTGCAATGGTGAGCCCCCTTCCCGCCACCCTGGCCACACCCAGCCCCATTCTTGTGGGTCCCCCCATTAGAGTCACTTCTGGGCTTGTTGTCCGGGGGACCACACTCTTGAGGAACGGACCCTTGGACATCACACCCTCTTGCTGACAGTCCTTAGGGCCAAGGAGTGCCTTTCTGGAAATACTAAGTGTGGATACGATAGATCACCATGCCCACGAGTCCCCAGCCACCTAATACTCGCATCCTGCCTCTCTTATCAGCACAGAATCGCCGTAGGGTAGAACCTGGTCTTTGTCTGGCAGCCCCTCCTTGGAGCAGAGCAGGAAGAGAGCTAACGATTTTTTTCCTGGCTTCCCCTAAACCCTCTAAAGCAGCAAAGGAAGAGGCAGGATCCCCGGGTGTGGGGCGAGGGGTGGGAGAATGGGTATAATAATCCCCAGTTTTCAGATGAGGAGACTGCGGCCCAGAGAGATGGACTACTCTAAAGCCTTGGACATCAAGATCAACTGAGGATGGGGGTGGAGAGCACAGCTGCAGGGATGGCCCGTGATAGGGGGAAGCTCAGGTCTCCCCTCCATCTTCGGCCCTAACACCAACAGCGCCCTCTCTCTTGCCCAACAGTGCTGAGGAGGTATTAAGAAGAAGTCCTGGCCACAGACGTCTGTGTCTGATTCTTCATCACCTCCGATCCCCTTTGAAGCAATTTCTATTTTTATGTATTTATTTATTTACTTACTTATTTATTTGAATTGTTTTATATAAGATGATTCTTACCTTTGAGCACACATTTTCTGTAGTGAAATAAAGTGTCAACATTACAACTTTTTCTTTTGAAACTGATTTGTCTCTGTGCATTAAAAAACCAAAAACCAAAAAAACCAAGCCTTGTGTTTTCTTGAAGGTCCCCAAAGTATCTTCATGGTAGGGTGGGGACACAGCCTCAAGGCTGGTCAAGCAGATTGGGGATGCCTTTCTTTTCTTTAAGGATGTTTCATGCTCTGAAATGTCTGTAAATACCTCAAGCGTTTGAGACACTGCAGAAAGTGCTTTCCAAAGCCAGCTGGTTTCTCCCTAGGTGTGGAATGGCTCTGATGTACTCATGCAACATGGGGGTATAAGGACATTCTCCCTGGAGATTGTTGTTTTCAGAAGGTCTAAGCTAAAATCTCAGAGACTAGGGGACAGTGTATGTGTGTGCAAGAGAAAGACACACACACACACACACACACTGTCTCATTGGCGTTCCTGAATGGGGTGAGCCCTCCGTCCTGTTCCAAAACTCAGGTGCAATTTCCTGATGTTCTGGAAAGAGGTCCTTGAAACTCTGAGCTTAATAGCACTTTAATTTTCCCAAGTCCACAAGTACTAAAGGGTCCGACAAAAGGCCCAGCATTTCAGTGCACCTTCCCCTGAGACACCATAACTTCACTTCCTCTCTGCCCCAGAGAGAAGCCACTCATTCCAATGCAGAAAAGGAGACAACCACCCTAATCCTGCTGTGTTGCCTTAATCAGTGGTCATCTGGGTAGGTTCTCTGCCCTCTTCTCTGTGGGACCCCCTTTCAGGGACCCCAGGCCATGCTCCTTTGCCTTCAAGTTCCCAGGCCTTGGTTGAAAGTGGGAGCTGTCCAATGTTTCTGATCCAGGGAAGGCAATGAGCAATCAGCATAGTTTACCTTTTATAAAGGCCTCATTATGTACCAGGCACAGTTCCATTAAATCATATAGTTTTCACAACAAATCTCTGAAATAAGAGCTCCTATTATCCCTCATTTTAACGGAAGAGGAAAATGCAGCACAGATTTGGTGATAGAACTTGCTAAGGGTCATGCAGTTAGTATGGGCAGAGCCAGAGTCAAGCCCATGCAGCCTGGCCTGGCGCCCTGGCCTCTAACCACAACCATGGCACCACCTGTCCTCTCCCAGGTTGGTGGATTGGGCTTGCTGGGGGGATGGGAGATTCCCCTCCTAACGGCAGCACACACCTCAACACTTGGTGCCACTGCCTATCGGCGACCTTTCCCCTCTGCTCAGGTGATGGGGACAGACCCCTCCTGGAACACTCCCTCCCCCAGGCCAGCCACACTTCAGAATTCATCCAGGTGAGCCTGGTTCATTCATACCTGGGGCTCAGGAGGTAGAGTCCATACGTAAGATACATCCTGTTACTTGGGCATTTCCCCCAAGCAGAATCCAGGAAAGAGGACCGCAGAGTGAACTCAAGAGAGCCAAATGGGACTGACTATTGGGGAATGGGAAGTGGGTGGCCTGGGGGGACCCCGGGAGTGACATCTCATTGAGCTCCCCTGTGTGTGGTGTTTGTGGGCAGCGCAACAGCATATGCATAGTCTATGGTCATCCTTTAGAACCAGTTCTCCCTCCCTTGTGACACTGGCCCCTTCAAACATGTCCCTAAGTAGCTATGGCCATGGCCTTAATGTCCCTGACTTCCCAATCATCAACCTTGTCCCCAGGGAAGCTGCCAGATTATGTATCTCCATAGGCACTTGTCACTTTAATCCTCCCAGAAAGACGTGGTGGTGAAACAGACCCCAGGGGTCTAGCCCACGGCTTCAGAGATGGAACAAGTTTCAGTAGAGGGTGGATGGGCTTTGCGGGGTCTCAAGTGTTGAGGTTACAGAGTTGGGGCTGACACTTCATGTCATGTCACCGAGTCTCCACCTGTGACATTTTCAAGGCACGCTGAGCCCTTCTCCATCTTCTTGTGGCAGCTTTGATCTTTCTGAGAATTTGTGGCAAGAAAAAAAAATGACGCATTTCTCTTCCTGCACAGGCAGATCTAAAGAAAATCAAGAATTTGGCCATTTGTCTTTGTTCTTGTCTTATTCTCAGCCTCCTGTCTGTGTCTTATTATCCAATGGCAAAACTCATTGATTCAATTGTTCAGAAAACATTTTCTGAAGAATCAGTAGGAGCCAGCACTGTGCTAGTTGTGCTAGTTGTGGAATATAGTGGGGTCCTGTGGCTGAGAGATGCATTGCCTCAGACCTGTGTGTCCTGCACCTCTGGCTTCCCAGAAAATGCAGCCTTAGCAATGGCTGGCCTGGTTCTTCATGGCTGTTAGCCATCTCCATATACCTGCCTGAAGGAACTGGGTAACCCATCCCAGAAGTGCAGGGGAGTTCACAGCCCTGCGTTGGGGTGGGGGTGGTGCTTTGACCAGGATATAGAAAGGAACTCATAGATAAAGTGCTTGTTATGGGTAGAATTGTGTTTACCCAAAAGGTATGCTGAAGTCCTAAGGCCCCCAGCACCTCAGAACCTTATTTGGAAATAGGGTGATTGTAGATGTAATTAGGGTAAGATGAGGTCATCTTGGAGGCAGGCGGGCCCCTGATCTAATATGACTGGTGTTCTTACAAGAAAAAGAGAGAGAAACACAGAGAGGGAAGATGGCCACGTAAAGACAGAGGCAGAGACTGGAGGGATGCATCTGCAAGCCAGAAGACACCAAGGATCTCCTGCAGCCACCAGGGCTGGAAGAGGCCAGGAAGCCTCCTCCTCAACAGCTTTCAGAGGGAGTGTGTCCCTGCCCCACACCATGGTTTCAGACTTCTGGCTTCCAGAACTGTGCAACTACACACTTCTGTGGTTTGAAGCCCCCCAGTTTGTGGTCCTTTGTTACAGCATCCCTAAGGATCTAACACAGAGCCCTCAACCTTTTGTCTCCTCACAGGCTGTTCTCAGGTGCTGGGCTCCATGAAGCTCTCTGTAGGTATCTGGCATGAACCAATCAATCAAGCATGTTTTGCAAAGCTGTGGCCAGCTTGGGAACTTACCACCTTATCATCTTGTATTTGCTGTCCCTCTCTCTCCCTACCTGTGCTGGACAGCCTCTGAGAAGGATCCCAGTGATCTCCGTCTCCTGGTATCCGTTCCTTTTTATGATTCCCTCCCCTTGAGGCTGGGCTGGACCCCATGCCTCCCTTCTAATGACCACAGTACAACACAAATCATGGAGGCCACTTCCAAGCTTAGATTACAAAGTGACTGTGGTTTATATGATCTGTTTACCTAAAAGATGTCAGTTGCATCATTATGGAGAGGCCCATGTGCAAGTAACTGACATCTCCAGCCAATGGTCAGTAAGGACCCGAGGCCTGACAACATAGGAGTGGGGTGGAAGGCAGATATCCCAGCCAAGCCCTGAGCTGACTGCAGACCCAGCCAACGTCTTAATTGTAGCCTATGGAAGTTCTGAGCAAGGGGTACCCAGCATGGCCAGATACTTGATCCATAGAAACTGTTAGATAATAGATGTATGTTGTTTTAAGTTATTAAGGTTTGGGGTACTTGGTTATTCAGCAACAGTTAATTAATATACTATCTCTTCTCTTTTCCCATCACTCTGTTTCCCTGAACTGAAACCCCCAAAAGCTTTAGCAACTGACCTCTGCCTAGGAAACCCGTCCCCAGCTCCAGTCCCACTGACTTCCATATTGTACTAAAGAAACAACATTGTTTTCAAAGTCAGAAACAACTATCTCTAAATAGGTACCAGAATCCTACCAATTTCTCCCAGGGCTTCTGTTTAGACCCTTTGGGTCTGATAGAATCATGCCGTGAACATGATGGGTTTTTCGGTTCTGCACATGCCTGACATGGTGCGGCCTTCATGGGCTCCCCCAAGTGTCCCCGTGGAAGGTCGTGAAACCAAACTCTGGGACAGAAACTGGAGAGAGCCCAGTTCTGGATTCTCCCGCCCATCTGCAAAGCTCATTCCATCATATGAGTAAGATGATTTCTTCCCAGTAATAAGGAAACAAAGGCTTTTGATTCTCCAGCTAGTGGGAGAGGTGGGGCTGGCGGGTGGATTGGTGTTATATGCCTTTTGCTTTTCTTCTGTCTCAGTCCTACAGGCTGACTTCTAAACACCCCATTAAATATCAACTCCTCCACACACACACACCCAAGTTGAGCAAGGGTATGGAAATGAAGAGAAACTTTACGTCAAGAGATTTTTTCCAGCCATTCTGTTTCAGGCTCAAAGCAAGGCTTTGACTGGATTGGGGTGATAAGTGTCTTTGAGAGTTATCTGTGTTTTCACTGTGCCCTGTTGGTGTAGGAGGTGGTGTTGGTCCTATACAAAGTCCTCAGGGCAGCAAAACTGAATATTCTTTTTCTTTTCTCTTCCTGCACAGGCAGATCTAAAGAAAATCAAGAATTTGGCCATTTGTCTTTGTTCTTGTCTTATTCTCAGCCTCCTGTCTGTGTCTTATTATCCAATGGCAAAACTCATTGATTCAATTGTTCAGAAAACATTTTCTGAAGAATCAGTAGGAGCCAGCACTGTGCTAGTTGTGCTAGTTGTGGAATATAGTGGGGTCCTGTGGCTGAGAGATGCATTGCCTCAGACCTGTGTGTCCTGCACCTCTGGCTTCCCAGAAAATGCAGCCTTAGCAATGGCTGGCCTGGTTCTTCATGGCTGTTAGCCATCTCCATATACCTGCCTGAAGGAACTGGGTAACCCATCCCAGAAGTGCAGGGGAGTTCACAGCCCTGCGTTGGGGTGGGGGTGGTGCTTTGACCAGGATATAGAAAGGAACTCATAGATAAAGTGCTTGTTATGGGTAGAATTGTGTTTACCCAAAAGGTATGCTGAAGTCCTAAGGCCCCCAGCACCTCAGAACCTTATTTGGAAATAGGGTGATTGTAGATGTAATTAGGGTAAGATGAGGTCATCTTGGAGGCAGGCGGGCCCCTGATCTAATATGACTGGTGTTCTTACAAGAAAAAGAGAGAGAAACACAGAGAGGGAAGATGGCCACGTAAAGACAGAGGCAGAGACTGGAGGGATGCATCTG